GAAAACTACTGTGCTCGAAATATACAACATATTTCTGTTCAAGACGCATGATGAATGCTAATTGCATTCAGACCGACCGAAGCCAAAATGCAGTTAGCTTCAGCATTTTGCGGGAGGTAACCGCCCATTTCGGCATTTACAGAAGAAATATTGCACACAACACCCGATCCTTTTCGTTCTCGATATAATCTATTCACCAATTCGTGTTCTTCAACAAAGTTGATGATGAAGACATTTCTCAGAACATATGTCTTATTCACATCGGTTACATCTTCCACATTCCATGGTTCCATATCTCGCACAACATCATGATCCTGACATATTTGAAAAAACTCACCTTTCTTCAATTTGATGCAGGAAATGGAAATTGCCCTGATCCACCACTTGCCTGTAGTACCCGAGAGAACCCTTGTTCCCGTGTATCCCCTCATACAGACCCGAGGGTTATCCTTGTTAAAGCCGAAATGACTGCCCAATAATCGAGCCTACACGAACAGGCTTGTGTCATCCTTGCGAATTGATGAGGTCAACGAATCCTAGGAAGAGTTACATGTATAATCGACAGGGACTTTTTGGATCCCAAATAACCCTTTACCAATCTTGGGTGATTTGCTTCTGCTGCAACACGTCCTCAGGACTCTTCTTGATATTACTGAGGGGACATCTCTTTGATATTTATGGAGGAAGAATGTTTTGTAGCATTTTGTAGTTTTCACAAGCCAAACAAGCCAATTAGACATGAAACTTTTACTATTTAAATAATCTGCATTCTCATGCCTTCACATATCAAGTTTTGAACTTGACCTGACTGGTAGTAGACGTCCCTTTGGACCATCAATCAATCAATGGTTAAAAATTACAAGAAATGCCTTCTTGCAATTCACCCATGACATTCACCACATATCATCTAACTTTGTCACTCCATTCTCACACCGAAGAGAAGTATTGATATACCAGAAGCTTCTAAAGAATCTTACCAGTATCATATGAGCAGCTGTTTTATAACTGGTGGATGATCACAGGTAACTGCTCTCGAGTTTGAAATGTCAAGCAGCGGGGAGATTACAAGTCTTTGAACTGAATAAGCATCACAAAGTTTGTTGTACTACTATAAGAGAGACTTGCAGGACTAGTGGTCAGTTTTATGAATTTTGCAACTCACAGCATGACAGATCATTGCTGTGAAGAAAGAAATCTAAATAAATAAATAAATAAATAAATAAATAAATAAATAAATACTTGCACAGAACTATGTGAGTAAGAAAATGATCTAAATTTATTCTCTTCGGGATTCTGAAATCGCCCTAGTGAGATAAGTGGGACGGTACCCAATTCTCTCAAAACCCTCTTTCTTGGGCGTCTGAAACGTTGGCATATCGGTTACGCAGTTGGTTGCGTTGGTAACTAACCCACATGAAGTTACAGGATGTATGTGAGCCCCTTGTTCTTCACGTTTGTCAGATCCATCCATCTAGATTTTGCATGTCAGTGCTTGGATCTCACAGGTGTCATTGGAGATTGTGTGATCTACAACTCCTGATTCGGTAGCTTAGTTAACATAGTTACCAGCTCTCGCTCGTTTTATTTTCTCTCCGTGTTTTGTCTCCTCTACCACCAGAAGATAAAACACATGTCGACCAAGCATGCTCCACAGCACACCACAGCACACAATCATGGTTATTTCAGCAGGGGGGATATCGAAGCGCGTGTTCCGGTCGAAACGTTTGAAATTGAAGTTGTGTGGGGACGTGGGGTAGATATAATGAAGAGAATTCCAGGCCAATTAATCACCAAAAGCCGGAGATAAATGTTAAGAGCACATGCAAGTATTGTTCATTTAGGATAGATGTTGTATAGGTCATTTATCTATCCCAGTTGTATAGGGGTAGTTCTATCTACATATAGTTACTCCATTGAAGTTAGTCATAATATGTTTGTATTGAACGATTCAATGTCTGGACTCTATATATGAGATGATCTCCTGCACCAGCACAGCACCAGTGTCCCATATCTACCAGAGATAAGAGTTTGACGGGCAGAATATACCAACGCGTGTCCTCTCTGTGGTACTATCGGGTTGTAACTACAATAGAGCACGCTCTTGCATAGTTCAACTCCAGGAGCTTCTGAGTTTCAAGGATGAAGATGGTGATGAAAAGGAGTCTTCCGCTGGTTTAAAACACCAAGCACCCCTCACGCCTGATACCCCTTAACTCTCTCCAAATACGCCTTCCACCCCTCCTCCCGATACCTCAGAACAGCCTCCAGCGGATCCTCCGCCGCATAAATGCCGCGACCAGAAATGATAAAATCCGCCCCCCTCTGCACAGCCGATGCGGGAGTCTGATACTGTTGCCCCAGTGCATCCCCACTCGCCGATAGATTCACCCCAGTCGTAAAGACAACAAAGTCCTCCTCGTCGCCATCGACCGTAGAAACAGGCAGCACATCATTAAGTGCCCTCGTAGCAACAAAGCCCAGCACAAACCTCCTATGCCTCCTCGCCGCCTCCACCGAGAGCTGCGTGTAAGCGCCCGTCGCCATTGAGCCCTTAGACGTCATCTCCGCGAGTATCAACAGGGCGCGACCACCCTCCGCCTCATCAGCGTATACATTGCGGAACTCAGGGGTCGACGCAGTTTGCGCCAGAGCGTCGACGATACCGGGCCCAGCGAGCATTGCGCAGTTCACGATGTGAGCCCATTCGGAGATACGGAGGGAGCCGCCGTGGTATTGCTTTTGGACGGTGCTGCCGATGTCGACGAATTTGCGGTCTTCGAAGAGGAGGAAGCGATATTTGCTTGCGAGGGATTTTAGGGTGGTGAGGGTCGTCGGGGAGAGGTCGGTGAGGATGTCGATGTGGGTTTTTAGAACGGTTATGTAGGGTCCTAGGCCTGTTTGGTGGACAATTTTTTTTGTTTTTACAATAAAAAGAAATTAGGTTGATGATTTGATGTTTTTTAAGGGAAGATTTTCCTTTCTCCCTTTTTTTTTTTTTTTTTTTTTTTTTTTTTTTTTTTTCCTTCCTTTTTCCATAGCGCCCTCAATTGACATGGAGGGGGTAATGTTTAAACGTACGATCGGCCAGGTCCAGCAGCTCTTTCGAGGTGGTTACATCTGCGGAAACCACAACATTTGATTTCTTTTCTTCTGCAATTTGGAATAGCTGTTTAGCTAGTGGATTGCTATGCCGGCTCGCCCGCACTGCATACGGGATGTGAGATTTTGAAGACATTTGATTTGGATGGAGGAGGGGTTGAGTTTTGGGTGATGGGAATGGGCAGCGAACGGCGAGTGGAGTGATGTTCGTTTCTCCCCTTTTTTCCTTTATTCGTCGGATTAACTGGTGTATACTGTATGTAAAGAAACAAGGTGGATATAGAAAATTGAAGGAGTGACTTGGAAGATGTTGATATGATGTGCTGCTGTTAACGCGTAAAATGGCAGGTTGGGTTGGGTTTGTTAAGTTATCTGAAGCCACGGACACAGACTCCGATTGGCCAATCGCACTCAATATACCCTGTGAAGTCAATCTTATTTGATGGTAATTGGTAAAATCCTCTGTGAACTATTCGTTGTTTTCGAGGAGTTGATGAACCTGGTAAAATATTCTTGATGTCAACCTGCAATCTGGAAGACTTGTGTTTCAATGCTCCGGAGAACAATATAATGGTTAGCTAGATTCCATGACAGACTTTTGAACCTTCCAAGGTCTCCAATTCCATTGTCGGATTTAGTATTAAGCTGGTTGAAAATTTGTTCAAATCATTGCAGAACTGTCTTGTTTACCTGCGTATATACGAGATATCTCTTGTTGTGGGGTTTTGAAGAAATGTGACTTTCAATATTTAGTGCATATCGGACATGTGAATGGTATTGTTGTCGAAGTATATCAACAAGTTAATCAAAGCTCGCACGATATGAAAGGTCAAAATGTTAATCACCTTTAATAATCCACATTCAAAGAATCCAGTCTCAACATATATACAAAATATGTATCCCAATTAACTAGTTAACCCATCCAATACTAAGGGCACTAGCCGGAAAAAAACTACGACCCCAATTGCCACGCAACCCCAAACACACAGAGTCCCCAAAGCCCCGCCTGCGCAAGCCAGAACAGAATTCCCCTATACCGGCCGTTGCCATCAGGCTTGTCAGACATGACGTAGCCGTGCAGGAACAAAATTCTCAAGACGATCCAGGAGGCAGTTAGGACTGCGGTGGTTTGGGGGAATCTTAGACCCGCGACCAGTGCCATGAGCATGGTTTGCGGTGCGTTTTCGAGGAAGTTGGCGTGGGCGCGTTGGGCGCAGTTGAATTTGTAGGCGGCGGGCTGAAATAGGCAGTTAGGAAGAGTTGAATTTTAATTTTTGATTCTTGCTTCTTTCGTTTTGGGGAGTGGGATGAGTTGTTATGGGGGAGAATGCCAGGAACATACGCTTTTCTTGCATTCTTCTTGGGATGCATATGTATGCGGATATTTTATGCCGGAGGCTTTGCGGTGTTTGCCGACGACAATGCCGTGGGCGAAGCTTACAACTGGAATGACTCCTAGGGCAAGGGCAATGACATTGCTGTTGGAAGTTTCATGTTATTATTGTTAACAAAAATATTTGAGGTAGTGGATGTATCGTATATCCAATCAAAGGCATCAAAATGTAGAAATGTGGGCTCCAGGTTTGCAAATAAGGACAGCAAACAATGAAAATGAAGCATTAACATACCCATAGTTATCTGGAAGAGTGATGGAAACCATTTCGCCGACTTTTGTATTGAATAACGTTATCTATTGGGAATAGAAGACGCTGAAAATATCCAGTAACTGGAGATTATTGCTGATGTAGTATTTGCTCACGGAGGCAGAATGTCGGAGAGGAGGTTTTATATATAGTACGGTTCCATCGTTCCCACCAGACCCAGACAATGTGGCCTTCGGAAGTTGAGACGCCGTAAGACCACCTTAGCATCAACCGGTAAGCTAGGGAAAATTCTCCCCACTACCCCTCTTGAAACACGATGTGATAATTAGCCGGCACACTGAATATTGCAGGCTCAATGACCCAGTTTGTGTGGCAGTTCGTTCTCCTCAAGGCGGCTGAGGTATGGTAAAGCATAGCATATCCCTGCGTTGTAAATCTGCTTTGCATTATTCCTGAGGCGTTGAATGGGGCCGGCTTAGATTCTACCCGATTCCCCCCTGCCCCCATTGGAGAACCTGGAACTCCGACACACAGTATTCCCGCTGCCGCTGTGTATGTACTATTTACAGCATTATTAGCAATCAGCCCTAGAGCAGATGGGCGGTGGAATGACGAAGCAGTCTTCAACTATCGGGGCTGCATAGACTGATTAGCTCTTCGGAGATGTATATAGCGGAAGTGGTGTTGGAAGCTCTTCACTGTGCTGTGTCGTATCACGGGTAGCTCTGAATGTGAAGATTTAAGTAAGAGTGTCCTTTCGACCGACTGTAGCTATGAAGGAAAAGGGAATTCAACATAGCACATCGGATACGTTTGGGTTATTTGCCTGAATTCGCAAATCCCAACCGACGACCTTGCAGTCGGGGATGGGGTTGTCCCGATTGCCCGGCAGAGAAGATCGTTGTAGGGTTGACCACCCGCATAAGTTAAAATGATTGCCCCGCCTGCCATCCAGAGACGGGAAGAGAAGAACAAGAAGGTTCCAGAGAAAGACCAAAGGGACACGAGGATCTGTTGCAGGGGAACAGGGTATTTATACCTTTTAAAAGAGGGCACGGGAGGAGGTTGCGAGGAAGTCAGTGGGTGACCTAATAAGCGGCCATGCTGTATCAGGGCTGTGTGTGTGTGTGTGTGTGTGTGTGTGTGTGTGTTGTGACCCCCCCCTCCGCAGAGACCCCCTGCCCAGACCAACTCCAACAAGTTGTGTTTCTGCTACCTTTGACTGAGCTCAATTAATATGGCCAGGCTGTGTCGGCGACATTTCAAACTCGGAATCTTGATTCAATTGAGTATCGTTTCTCTGTTGCATCATTTGTTTCACGAGGTGAGAGAAAGGAATGTGGATGGAGCCATATATAACCACCTGCTCTTTGTGCGGAACATCAAAATTGGAAATTCTTACAAAATAGAAAGTCGAAAAGGGAGCTATGGAATCCTAAGAGCAAAAAGGCATCCCTGCCCCCTATCACGCAAGCTTGATCCAGATCGGCCCCCCACAGGGCTATGCTGAGCAAGGGGGAGCTGGAAGCATAGGTACATTCCAGCGCACAAAATAGCCCCGGCTTCAGGCCGAGATGCTTGGATCAAATTGTTGATCAGGGGAGTTTATCATTCATCTATCCGTGAGCGGTGCTCCGTCAGGATGTCAAGCCGTATAACATCCCTGCTGGTGATGGCGGGGGCCTGAGGATTCCCTGTAAGTAGCTGTCTAAGCACTGATTTACTGCAACGAGCAGAATATCAAATCATTTCCGATGCGAAAGATCATACTGAACACCCTTAGGGAAGCCCCCGTGACCTGGGTGATTGAAGTCTTATTATCGACTGCTCATAATATCAAAATGCCGTGGATGTATTTGCAAATTGATTCCGCTCCTCTATCAAAATCATTTCTCTATACAGAGCGTTACGCCTGGGAATGACCAGGTATATTGATTGGGTTCTGCCATCAGCTGTTTTCAAGATTGGACAACCTACATAAAATCTCAGCCACCAAGCAGCAATGCCAGTCCCAGTTTGAGAAGACGCCGATCCCTCACCAGCTCCGGCGCTGGCTCCAGCGCCGGCTCCAGCGCCCCTGCTTCCATGGTCGGGTTTTGGGCGGCTTAGGTGGGTCTTTTTTCTTATCGCGGCGCTCTAGACATTCCAGTCACTTGCTCATGCCACGACTGGAAAGCCTTTGAAGTTTTTACTAGATTCGCACAGGGGTAGCCATTCGTCTTAGCTTCCTGACGAACGGTGAATCTGGGGTACCGGGATCTCCGCCCGTCATGGCCGCAATTCCGCGTATGGAAGGTTTGAGGTTCTGCTCTGCATATTTGGTCCGTTCCTAAGTCAAATGGTCGAATGCTTCGGTTTTCCCAAAATCAGCCATTGGGCTGGAGCCACCTTTTTAAAACTTCTTCACCTCATGCTCAACCCCAAGTTGAGATATCCTCCCGAGCGTCCAAAGCACCGAACGGAGGAGTATCAGCTTACTGATATCAGCAGCTCAGAAGCAGTTGAGATTTGACATTCATCGGAGGCGGAATTGACCGCAGAGCGCATCCATGTACAAGTCCATTGTAATGTAGATATCTTTCAAGTTGATGATCTCGCCCCGTCACGATAAACTGATACTTGTTGGCACTTAAAACAACCTTCAAATGTTGACAAAAAGCTCAATATATCCAACAGATATTAGCCGTTCCTGACTAAGTGCTTCGATCTCATTTCTTTATTGAGATCTCAGCTCTAAGATATGGTGGTTCTCCGAGTTCCTTTTCAAGCATGGAACAAAGCACAGTCATCATCACAGTCTCACACTGGTTGGCACCCAACATCATTGGGATGCTCAACAACAAGATCAAAATATCCAGGAATGTACCTGCCACCAGCAGTGACAGGCACCTTGACCTCATTTCTTTCTTTATTAATAATCTATATCCTCCGGGGAGGCGGTGCTTTGAGCTGCTTCTTGAGCATAGGAACAAAGCACGGATTTATTGTTTTCAATCTCTCTTTTGTTTCGACTCAAATAACCTCAAACTGGAGGAAGATAATGTTGAGAACCCATCACTCTTCTATTGCCACCGTTTTGTGTCTGCATGGAACATTGATATTAGGTCAAACAAACCACTTTTTGTGGTGATAAGTTGGGATATCTCTGGAATCAAGCCATGTTATCGGATAAAGATTTTCTACTCCTTAACCAAAAGAGAGGCCCCTATGTTGAGGATCTCAAAACTTTACGGTATAGTACATCGTACATACAAAAGCTCGCCTCCCTTCGATGGAAGAGTTTATACGCGCAGTTTGCTAACACTGCCGTATTTAGCCTGCCACGCGAAAAAGTACAACAACGCCGCCAATGGCTGTCCCACAAGACAAAAGCTCACCCAAAACACACAGTTACCAATAATTTTGCCGGTCCGGGTGTTCATTTTCTCCAGTGGCAGAGTTGCAGCGATCAGGGGAAGTTGGAGAACCATGCCGGCGAAAGCGACACCTGATATGATACAAAAGTAATGTCAATATGGGGCTTCAGAATGCAAATGAGAATGAGGGACAGGCCCGAGCAGGGACAGATGAATGAAAAATATTATCCTTACCTATGACGTTATGTGTTGGGATCCCGACGAGTAATTCATGCAGTATCCCGCTGAAGATGAACACCATGACGCTGGCGGCAAAAGGACTCCAGCCCCTCCCAATCAGCGGAGAGAAGATATGTCGTCTCATAAAGTGATACACGGGCTTATTCCACGTACGCCAATACGTGCCCACGCTAGGACTGTTCCACCACTCCGTGTAGAACTCGCGGTCACCGAAACGCATGATTTCAGCTAGCGCGTTGAGATAGGACTGGAATAGTGCAAAGAATCCAGCGAGCCAGATAATGAGGGAGATTGTGGAGAGTTTCATGACTCGTTCGATGATGGAGGTTAGGTCGAGCGTTGCTATTTTCTCGAGGGAGTTGCGCAGGACTGGGGCTGCGTATTGGGCTGAGGTGAGCCAGATGAATACCGAAAGACCGATCATTTCCATTACACGCTTGGCGACAAAGGACCACCTGATTCGGTCTGTGCGGGGGTATACGGGCTGGTATACCAGGGTTGGTGCCAGCCAGAAATAGGTTAGGTTTCCGATGGTAACGTTTCGGGGATAGGGGCAGGATTGATAGATCTCTGGAAGCGGGGAGGTAGATGAAGGGTGTAGCACTGCGTGGCGGAGGTCTCGATTGGTAAATGCGTATGAGCAGATCTTCAACCAGACGACGATAACATGGACTTCGCATAGGGTTCCGATACCGGGGTGATTGACGTAATAATAAACTGCGTAACTCGTGACAAGGAGACAAAGGCTGGCATTTAATGAATGTGCAATAGCCGTACATATCCATGCTGACCGGAATGACTGCTGCTCCAGTGCATCTTCCTGTGTTGACTCCTCACGCTTGATGCGGCCAATTGCTCCCCTGACTTGGTGAGCGGCCGCTCGCTCAATTATAAATGCCACGAAGAGATGGCAGGGGATGAGTGCAGATAAAATTGCACCCAGAACAACATCTTGTTGTCGATAGTCGTGACATCTGATACAAATAAGGACTCCGTACTGTAGGGAAATCTATTGTCAGCAAAGGAAACGGGTGGGAGGGGCTGCGGCGGGTGTGGGATTGAAATACATACCTTCATAAAATTCTCAACAATCAAGCGTAAATTCATCACAACTACAACGTCCAACTGATCAGCAATAATCCCAATTAAATACCCGGCTCTAGGCTGAGAGAAATTCTTTACTCAATACAAGAACCATAAGGTTCCGAAATCCAAAAAAGCTGGGATTGACCTCTGATTCACGGCTTAGACAGGATATCGTGAGGCGGGAATGATAAGCGGCGACATGGCGGTATTTGCTCTTAGTTTTCGGTGGATATGAATTCGACGGTGTGGGTTGCAGTGCTCCATCGTGCAAGTGTTCCTTTGCCTGCAATGGCTGAGAAGCTGTAGGATGGTGATCTTTCGCCAATTCCAGCGGAGTGTCTGAAGGCTGGATGTTGTCGGTCCTTGACACAGCTATGCGCGCAATGCTCGCCATACTTACGGAGCAAGACAAGCCAATATCTTATCCCCTTTCCCGTGACTGAGAATTTGCCTCGCGGGAAGAATGTAACAAGTGATTCTAAGAATAATATATACAACTAGGTATATGTATACCTAGCTAGCTAACCCCCGTCCAGAGGCAAATAAACGATTGTCAATTGCTCCGCAGATAACGAAGATAGCCTGTTCCAAAGGGGAGAAACTGGAGGCGAATCCGAGGAAGGAAACGATGCAACGGCAGAGGAAGAAGCCAATTCAGGAACATTGCCATTAAAAAAATAACTAATCAATTATATATAAAAAAAAAAAAAAAAAAGAAATAAAAAAAAAAAGGAATAAAACAGCACTCTGAAATCTAAACTCTCCTCCGTGTTCCTTGCAAGTTCTCGAGTTTTGCTGCCAGGTTTGCTCATGACGAGGGGGAGGTCTGGTCCCTGGATTATGTAACCACTCTGAGGATAGTTAACGTAATTCCCAGGCGAAACGGCGCACCAAATCCGATTTATAGGGTAATTGATTTTGATTATTTATCAATATAATAACTAACTAACTAGCTAACTAGTTATCTAGTTATAACGACTTAATTGGTTAGACTGTGGCTGGTAAAACAGCGCTTGTGGCTCTGCAAAGCTAGGCCCCATCCAGCCTAGCTTGAATTGGGCCTGTATAACTCGCCCTTTTACCGCGGACCAACGTCGACGCAGCGGAGACTGAGCTTCCTCTCTGGCTGTGTTCAGTCTGCGGTGACCTGGAGTTTCTTGTCATTGACGAATTCCGGACTCTCTATAGACAGCATATGCTTTCATATTGACATCGCATGCTGTTGTGAATGCTATAGACTACTTTCACTTTCACCTCGATTGATGCATG